GTCCAGATTCAGCTGCTGTTGAAACTGATCAGTTTCAGCAGCGGCTGAATCTGGACGCCAGTTCCGACTTACATACAGATTCAACTTAGGGACTGTAGGTTTGTTCTTATCTTGTACGTAACCCGGGGACTGCCTGTACTGAAAAAAAGCAGTTTGCCATGAAAAAAGTATTATTTGCTTATTTCTGGAAAAATAGTTTATCTCAGATTCAGCTGCTGTTGAAACTGATCAGTTTCAGCAGCGGCTGAATCTGGACGCCAGTTCCGACTTACATACAGATTCAACTTAGGGACTGTAGGTTTGTTCTTATCTTGTACGTAACCCGGGGACTGCCTGTACTGAAAAAAAGCAGTTTGCCATGAAAAAAGTATTATTTGCTTATTTCTGGAAAAATAGTTTATCTGGAAACATTATGTAAGGGATGTTCCTTATACAGATTGGAAGTTCTATTTTTAATTCTTGGCTTGTTGTCATTCCAGTCAAAAACACGTTAAATGTAGTGTTATGACATAAGTCTACAAATGGAACTTGTTAAATATTTTTGAGACAAATTTGATATAATGTGTTTAGTCTGTGCAAGTTGTTAGAAGAGCAGACTGGCCTGCTGACTTTCTTTTAAAACCAAAGATTTAATTATACTCTTCAGTTAGACACAAACAAATCAGTAGGATGCACAAGAAGCTGCTGTAGGATGCACAAGAAGCTGCTGTATCTGTCCCTCCCCTTGTTTTAACGTTTTATATGCACTGACATCAAATCTGGCCTTAATTAGTATTGAGACGGTTGAATGTATAGTTCTGAGAAGCAGTGCTATGAAACTGCCTTTTTAAGTATTTGGATTGAGTCTCAATATTTGTCTTTATTGGCTCCTTAAGTGGTATTTAGAAAAGAGGATGTCCTTTGAGTAAAGATGATAAAAGTTAATCTCCAAAACTCCCAACGGTGTCTGTTACAGGAGACAGGTGTTGATAGTGTTACACCGTAATTTAACTTTAATTTAGTGTATATTCTAGTCAAGTTCAGTATTCATTTCTTGTTTGCCACTATTGTTTCTATTTGTGACAGAAACTTTTCTGTTTGAAACAGACACGCTGAAAATATTTGCCAACAAATATTTTGTCATAGCTAAATTTTAATATTGCTTTCATGCATTAAGAAAAACCAAAGTAGAATACACTGAAATAGTATTTTTGTGTCCTCCTTCTAGGTCTATGAATTCATTTTTGATTATCTATTTAATGATCCTCCTTTTTGAAGCAGTCCTCAGTACAATCTTAAAATATGCATGGCAAGCTGAAGAAAAATGGGATGAACCTTGGTATAATCAGAAAACCGAACATGAAAGAAACAGCAGTAAGGTAATGTGATTGTGTAAATATACATATTGATTAAATACACCCAGATATCATTAATAGTATGCGTGAACCTTAGAATACTTCAGTCTGCTTATATTCTTATGTTAAGAGCTTCAAAAAGATCTCACCAGACTAAGTGATTGGGCAACAAAATGGTAACTGAAATGTAATGTTGATAAATGTAAACTAATGCACATTGGAAAAAATAATCCCAACTATATATACAATATGATGAGGAATAATTAAGATACAACTACTCAAGAGAAAGATCTTGGACTCATTGTGGATAGTTCTCTAAAAACATCCACTCTGAGCAGCAGTCAAAAAAGCAAATACAGTAAACGTCCGATAATCCAGCACCTTTAGGACCCAGGGGGTGCCGGATTATCAGATATGCCGGACTATCGGAAGGGGGGGCTGTGAGGGGTCTGGAGCCAGACCCCTCATAGCCCCCCCCCCTTCCAATAGTCCGGCTCTGCCCCAGGCGTCCCTGATCTGGGGCGTAAAAGTGCCGGATTACCAGAAGGTTACTGC